CAAGAGTCACGGGTACTTCAGCTTCCACGGACTGTATCAGTGAAGTTTCACCCTCGGGAGCTGGAATTGTAACATTTTCAACTTCAACAGAAGCGGCTCCTTCATTTAAAGGTTCCTCAGCCACGGGAGTTTCATCTACTGGTGAAGGAAATTCAAGGGGTTGTTGAGTCATTGCAATGGTTTTCAAAACTTTATCCAATTCTGATTCTAAATCAAAGTTTTCTTGACTGGCTTCAGTTAAGGCATCACGGCGGGAGTTTAAAAAGGCCCAGCTCACCTCTGTGTTAAAATTCTCCTCAAGAAGCTCATAATCCTTTTCCCACAAGGCAAGATCATTTTTTAACATTTGATTTTCAGCCAAAGTGAAATCAAGGGTAGCTTCAAGGGAAGCACGAGAATTCTCTAAGGCACCAACTTTATCAGAGAAAATTTGCAAGTCATCCTAAGCCTGAGACAAGTTTTGAACTAGCTCTCCCGCGTACTCCTCTTTTTTTCTCAACAATACCTTCAGCTCTCTGATTTCTTCACTTGATTTAGATAACTGTTCTGACAAAAAAAAGACTCGAGACCCTCTCTTTCTTTCTCAGCTTGACTCGAAGAAGCTTTTACAATCGCAAGCTCTGAAGTTAATGCCCTCACCTGCTGTTCCAGGTTATTCTTACTCTCTTGTAAATCCTCTATTATTATTTGGGCACTATCAAATTGGCTCTTCCAGTTAGCTGCTTCCAACTGAGAGTCACGGGCTTCCTTCTCTGAATCAAGAACGGCCTTTTCAGAGTCACGTGCCACCTTCTCTAGTAAGGAAATTTTGTTCATCAACTCTGTACCGATAAGGTTGGCCTGAAAACGTTAAAGAAAGAAAAATAAGAATTCCGAAAAATTTTTGATAAAAGTAAAGAAAGAAGGGTCATACCTTCAAAGTAGAATGAACTATGTCGTTCATCAGAGTCAGGCAACTGTGACTGTCCATTTTCTTTTTCTCAATATCCCCAATTAAGGGTTCAAGCCAAACATCTGCTCCGCCAGACTTCCTTAAAAGACTGCTATTAGCAGGAACCTCAAGTGTTACACTCCTCATAGCTATGCTTTTACTACTAGAACCCTCTTCTACATAATGAGTAGAAGAAGGGGGAACTATAGAAGGAGGAACGGTAGAAGAGGTGAAAATAGTAGTAGTCGAAGGAGTCGAAGCAGGTAAGGGAGCAGAAATTGACAAAGTTGGTAAGAAAACACTTGAGGTTGGAGGAGGAACAGAAAGAACAGAAATGGAAGATGAGAGAGGGACTTCATCTAAAACCGGACCTAATCCACCACTTTCGAAGCCCTCAATAAAGAGGCGATGAGTGGATTCAGGGGTGTCCCTTGGAATGGTCTCTTCATCAGAGGTAATGGTGACGAGATCGGAGATACGAGCAGGAGAGATCTCAGTTTCATCCTCAGAAACAATGCGCCTCCTAGTTCTAGGACGAGCTGTCAAAGAGGTATCATCGTCTTCATCGACGTCAGAATCCTCTTCAACCACTTTCCTCTTTGACAGCGTGGCTTCTGTTCTTTCCAAAGCAAGAGGAGTACCGGAAGAAGCTCGCAGGGTGACGGCTACTTCAGCCGACATCCCTCGAATAGCAAATCCTGACAATAAGAAGGATAAAAAGTTAAAAGAGGGGAAAAGAATTTAACACATGAAAAGCAAAGAGGAATGTATACCGTGAGTTTTCACTTTCCAACCATGTTTGTTGGAAATATATTTCCAAGTTCGTGCCTCCATAGGCGCGGCTTTCAAGACAGCATCTACCCAACCACGGAAATTAGGAACGGGTTCCACATTTCCCATGGTTGCTACAAAAAAGCAAAGGAATAATAATAAAGTTAGAAAAGAAGCTGAAATAATAAAAGCAGATACGGCAAGGAAGAAAATACTTACGTGCAAAGTTCCATTTCTCAGGAAAAGGAATATTTGATTCGCCCACCAAATCAATTGTGGGAACAGCAACAAACCGGGTGTACCAGCCACGGTCATTAGTATCTTCAGGGTTAACCAAAACCCTCTTACTTCTTGCAGTTAAGGTAAAAACACCATTGCGGAATAGTTTGGGGTGATAAAGATGAATTAAATGAGGAAAAGTAAAGTCAACAGTAGCTTTGGTTGACATATACCTCAAACAAGCTACTGCTCTCCATACGAGAGGACCAACTTGAGCCAAACAAATTTTGAAAAAATGGCAGAAGTCAAGAATGACAGGGTCAATAGCAGGAATAAATCCCAAAGTAAAGGGATAAGTGTAAACGAAAGAAAAACCAACCCTATAAGAAGATATTCTTTGGTGTGGAGTAGGAATAACTATTTGGGTGTCACCTCTCCAACGGCAATCTCTTCGAACAATCTGAATTAAAGGTTCAGTAATTAAAGAGGGATATTTATCAGCTCTCTCTAATTTAATCACTTGGTCACGAAGGGATTCTTTGTCATGTTCGAAGGATAAATCCGTTGGCACAATTTCTTTAACCAGAGGCTCTTGGTTAGACTCAGAAGTTTCTTTGCCTTTAAAAGAAGACTTGTTAGAAAGAGAGCCTCTAGAGATATTGCCGGAACTAGAAGAAGGAATGATGGAACCAGAGGTACCACCACGAACCGACCATGTACCACGAAGCGCACCTCCTCTACCTCTTCTATATCTAGCAGGAGCATTGGGAAAACTATCAAGAATTGGGACTCTTTTAGGGTTAGGATTCGAAGACGACATAGTGAGAAGGTATGAATTGAAAAAGAAGTGAACAAGAGTTAATAGCAAGAAATTTGGTAAAAAGCTTGTGAGGAAGAAGACAAAGGAAAAAGGGGGCAAGTTTATATATAAACTCAACCGTCGGTAATTAAAAAGTGTAATGATGGAAAGCCTATAATAAAGGCAACTATCACTTCGTGAATAGTGGAGTTAAAAAAGCCTTAGAAAAAGGCTGCAAAATCGCAGAACTAATGAGAAGACGACACGTATATGGTGCATTAAATAGAAGAGACAATTGAAGCGGCAACACTGTCATAGCATTGATTATGGCAAAAATTCCCTTTTTAATGAAGATCCACTTCCCAAATATTTAATTGATAAATAAATGGAAAGTGGGGGGACTATCTGTATTGGGAAAAAACTGAATTTATATTGAAGGTGATGTGGCATGACACGTGGACTGGTCAATGGTCAACACATGATGGTCAATTGAGAGGCACGAGCGACATCAGATACGAAGAGAAGAGAGTTAAATAGGCACAGGATGCTGTTCAAATAATACGAGTCTCGTGCTTAATTAAAGCCAAGGGGTCAGAAGGGATTGAAGATATGAATCTGATAGCATAAAGGAGTCTAAATTCAGTATTAAATGCCAAATACGTTAGCAAATCAGCATTAAATAGGAATGATTGAGTAACGAATCACTTAATGTCATTTAATGCTCATAATTGCCTCTTTAAGACTGAGTCATTATTCCTTTTCCTAGAAAAATCAACTATAAAAGAAGGAGATCTCAGCATTTGTAAGGACACAAAATATCATTGAGATTACATTGAAGTACAAACTTATTTACTGCTTTATTATTCTCCTAAATTCTTTATTCTTTTCGTCTCCTGATTATCAGTAACCCGATTTTTTCTCTTAATTTCTAGTTTTAACTGAAATTCTATTTTTTGGTTAAACAAGAATATCATACGAATTTTTCCCTACCCCAGGTATGTTAAGATCATTCCTTCTTTCTTTTTGGCATGATCTATACAGCTCAAACGAAACGAGCAAATGCAAAACTTCCATAAATTACTCTATTCGTAGAAATGCTAGAGATGTGTATATTCTTATTCTCCCATAAGTCTTATTATTCTATCATCTGTTCATGGGTCTTAGAAAAATACGTATTTGATAAAGTTTATCCGAAAGGTATATTGATTTTTATGGCATTCCGAGAAAATCTTAGTAACGTATTTCTTATGCATTTCATGCATTGCATTCATTTACATTGACCCATGACCAGATGGCGTTATATATGCATATATGTATGTAAATATATGTATATAGGATATGGGAAAAGGTTACGGCATTATATACGCACCACCACCTGATCAGTTGGTATATGTTGATGATTTTGCCCATAGTGGCCGAGATGATATGATGGGATGCCCATGTTATGTACACCTATACCTATGCATGACACGACATTTACACGCACGTACATGATGCTATAAATGTTTCAGAATTTACAAAGTTATTCAGACTTACAGGCGGATTTCTTTATTCCATGTTTCGTCTATGTCTTTTATGTACGGATTTTCATCGCTTACATACTCAGTACATTATTCGTACTGACGCCCTATTCCCCGGGGCCTGCGTCTCATGCCCGCAGGTGCAGGTAGGCAAGCTAACGGTCCCTCTTCTTAGGATCCTTGATCAGCGAGAGTTGGCGTGCTCCACTTGATCCGGAGTTGCTTTTGATTTTGGTACGATATGCTTGTATACATATATGGGTATGACGTGGCTCAGCCGCGTCTTTGTACGGTTGTATTTCTATTAAAGGTCTGTAGACAGTTACGTACAGTTGGATAGTATGTGGCCTTGTCGGCTTTTAGTTTTTGATATATAGTTGTCTATAGCAGCTTTTCCGGCTCGCCCCATTGTATTCCGCATGTTTATGCATATATGTCTTTTGGACAGGTTTTCCTCACATACATTATTCATGTTTATATCTTAAACGCGTGCTTAAGAATGTTCGACATGTAGGATTCGGGCACCCGTCGCGGCCCATCGATTTGGGTCGCAACAATAAATGAAGCAAAGAAACAAACCGAATAGAAAACCTAAAAAAATGTGACAATAAATGTGCACTTAAAATATAGTTCAGTACTGTGCTCATACATAATGCGGTAAATGTATGTCACATACTTGTTTGCAGCTGATCTTGTTCTCTTCACGCTTCCAATTTTCTCTTAACATTACCAATTTTGACAAAAATTGTGCACATAATCAAAACAATAACATATATTAAAAACTTTACATCTTAATGGAACAATATGGGTAAAAAGGAGCTTCCCTTCTCACATACTGTGGTCAAGTCCCTGCCCTGCCTTAATTCTTTGTATTATAAATATTAGCTCACTGCTCACCTGGGTCACTAGGGTAAAAGCTAGGGAAGTATGCCAAAAATAATATCCACTAAATAAAAATTTAACCGACTACAAGCTACACCAATCTTTTTTTTCCCTATTTGGAAAAAAAAAATGGTGACTTTTCTCAACTGCACCAAAACTTCCATTCCAACGACCTACACTGAACAAGTAAATGACCTATTAAATTCCCTCTTGCCAATTCCAACCAAAAAAAAAAAAAAAAAAATAGGCTACCAAAATTACTGCATCCTGATCCAAGAGGAGTGTCCAGGAACACCTCTGTGTACGACAAACACCATATAATAACCTGGAGGTGCAATATTACGCGATGGAGGTGCGCACACCGTAATCTTTTGTGCAAACAACGACAGCCGTTGAACTTGCACAACGTCCAATATTAACAACCGTTGATTCATTGCGAACGAGTGTGTGGTAAATGAGGGTGCAATCATGCTTACCACGAGCTCCTTTGCAGGCTGGTAAAAACCAAGTGTAAATGTGATGGAGAATTTCTGACCGTGTGATACGGGTCCTTCAACGGTCAATATTGATGGTCGGAGATGTGAGTGTTCTGGGGCCAAATATGGTGGCCTAAATGCTTCTAAGCTTAACTCTGTGGGGTACTGTACGCCTGTAAAGTTGTACCTTATATGTGGATTACTTCCACCCACTAATATTCTGCCATCTGGCAATAATGTAGCTGCTGAGTGGTACATTCTTGGAATGTTACTTGGTTTGAGTACAGTAAATCTCTTACTCGGGTCGGGTTCATTTGGCTTGTAAAGAACCGGGTTCAATACCGGGTCAATTGCACTCTCCCACCCGGCTGTCCCTTTTAAAGCTCCATTTAATATAATTACATCTCCTGTAGGCAACAACAACATATCGGACATGACCCGACCCATTGGCATATCCTCCATGACCCATACAGGATCCGGATCCGTAATCCTCATACGTCCACATGTACGTGAAGCAGGCAAAAAAACACTCTTCTCAGCTTGTGTAAACGCGCCACCGTTAGCACCACCACATACCATCACCTCCACCACCGGCGACGAAGCACTGGAGACTAATTTCATCGGTAGCATTACCGATGAACCAGTCGCCGGATAAGTCCTTTTCTCGCCGGGAATTGGTGGAAACTCTCTAATAATTTTATTATTCACGTAATCTAAGACTATGGATCGTTGATTAGCGAAAATGTAAATATTTCCGTCTGGTAAAAGGTACAAAAATGGATAAAGATTGTTCTCCTCTTTAGGATCAGTTGTTTCCTTCAAGAAAGGAAGATAAAAAATCCCATTATTTTGTGAGTTTTGCGGGAAAAACTCATAGCTAAAAGCTCTTCTTCCTCCAACAATAATTACACGTCCATCTGGAAGTATATGATCTGAAGCGTACCATCTTTTAACGGTGAGATTCTGTGGAAGTTCCGTCCAATCACAATGTTCATCGTTATTACACGGTGAAAACAACCGTATTTTACGTTCACCGGCATGGTATCCGCCGGTTTGGATAAGGGTTCCGTTAGGGTTAACGGCACCAGAGGAACACCAAACGTCGGTGTGAACCATGAGAGGACGATAAGTGTTGGTAGCAACATCGTACAAGATAGAGTGAGCTGTGCAATCTACTCCGATGGCTTCGTCATTATACCTGTTGAAAATATAATTCAATACAATTAAAAATATATTTCTCTAACAAATTAGTAGTATTGTATTTCCTCAATATTTTGTTGAAATTAAAAAGAATGAGTATTTAAAGTTATAGTTAATGTATCTGGACTTTGAAATGTGTTTGAACTTAAATTTTACTTCGGAGAGTGAAGTTTTGCGATAAAAAATACTATTATTTCACTTGAAATAATTCTCAAATTAGTTTTTTCAACTTAATATTCTCCATTTCAAGTTGAAATTGATATACTGACCAAAATGTAAACAAATAGTATTGATTTGTGAAAAAATATATGATTACTTGCGAGTTATATGTATATCCAAACGTCTAGATATGAGATGAAATGATCACACAATCCAACGTACCTGCATTGGCCTTGAGGAAGGGAAAGGTTAGAAGCACCAAAATCTGTACGGTCGAAGATGACAACCTTGTTATTATGGAGAAGTTGCATGTGCATGGCAGAGACACCAATGGATTTTTGTAAAAGAATCCATTTACCATTTCTATGATCTGAGTTCTTTTGGTCCAATGGTCCTGCTTGACCTGAGAATTTGAAGTCAAAGGACGTAGAAAATGATGATTGAATAATACTATTAGGCAGTGATGAACTCTGTCGGTGGCTCTTTCGTACTCCACCATTTTGTTTGGAGGATGACGATGAAGATGAAAATGAGAGAGGGAAAGTTGAGAAAAGAAGGAAGAGAGCAAAAAGGAAATAAAAAGATTGATTCTTGAATTCCATTGATAAGTTTTCTTATGTTTTCTTGATTGAGATGATCAAAAAAATGGGAAATGGATAAGTAACAAAAGGAATACTAGTAGTTTGATGGGTAAAGAGTTCTTAAATGAATGAAATTAATTAGTGTGAAAGTAAAATATTGGCGTAAAAAAGTAGAAAGAGAAGAATATAGATAAGGGAAAGTAAGGGAATGCATGCACGGATTGGGTGAAATTAGTCAGTTGCTAAATATATGGATAGGCGGGGAGGAAGTTCTTGTATTGGTCCATAATCATTTGACTTCCACCAACAATTATTACCCTATTTATTTCTTTATTTATTTTTATTTAAAGAAAAAGAATTTAGGTCCTTTCTTTCTTTAGATTGTTTCGGTTTCCTTAAATAGAAACCCTAATTTACTTTTTATCTACTTCTTTAAGATAGGAAGTTTGCATAGGACCGGGAGGAAGAGAAAACAATATAGTATGGTGCAAATTGATTAATATTGAACTTTTAGGGTTTAAAAAGTGGAGCTTATGTTAGTAATTAGTTACATTTGATTCTCTAGTTGGTAGCCTTTGATTATTTCCAATTTCATGTGGTATTCTTAGTTGAATTAGAACATAGTGCTATTTGATTTGGAAGAAACAAGGAGTTAGAGAACTTATATTAGTATGTTTGTTGATTTACGATCATCGAGTATATTTCACTTCCCAATTAAACTAAAGGGGAGAGAATTAAGATAACACTCAAGAAATTCTTGTAGTCAGGTCAGTTGATTTTGAATATCATATGGTCAAATTAAAAAAATCATCTTTTTTTGTTGTACTCATGATTTCGAGGATTTTCTATTGTACTCGACAACTTGATTCACAAACCATCTCGTGTCCACGCACGTTCGGAAAAGAAGTGCACCCATGGAGACAACATACCCTAACATAAACGTCAACAGCTAATTCGACGGTTCAGACCCGTGACCTACTAAACACACGAAAATTACTTTGTTGTTGTTCCAAAACTGCCCTTTCTGAATATATTGAATACTGCCAACATAAAATTACTGCTATAATTGCCCCATTTCTCTTGGTTCCCTTTTGCAGTCTGTATATATCAACTTCATCTTCTTCTTTTTTCATTTTGCACCATAAATCATCATAATGAAAGCAACTATGGATCTTTTGTTCACATGCTCACACAATTAAGAACGATAGGTTAACCACACGTCTAAAGCTTGCTTTTAGGTTATTTTCCACAAGAGTCATGAAACGTTGCCAACAATAAATTAAGTGTGCTTATCCTTTGATGACATAACTTATGTATATAACCATTCCTTCTTTAATTCACCGACTGTTGTCGTTAGTTAAACAATTTTAAGTAGCTTTAAAAAGTCCAGAAGGGCACTATCAATATTCACAGTCAACTACTATTAATTAATTTGTATACGGTAACTCGGTAAGGGTCCACTAACAGCTTTAATATTTTGTTGGGCAACATGGGTTATTAAAAGGGTCGAATTAAATGCAAGTTTATAGCAGCCAGCGAAAACCATTCTGATTTGTGATCTGAAGACTGCATTTTACATATGCGGTTATGTTCATTGGTGTTGCTTTAAATTTAAATTATATACAACAATAGTATATAAATGTTTTTCGCACTATCAATAATTCAATATAAATTCCTATTATATTATACGGCGCTGCTTTAGCTTACCGAGAACATGATTCTTGATAGGGGGTATGGTAGGAGGTCGTGAATTAGGGTAGAAAATTAGTGGGTGGTCATGAGTTTTCCTTATCTATACCAGTAGTATTAGTGCTAGTCTTGTACTTTCTTATTTTTAGATTTCTCTTACTATTTGTTGTTGCTTTTGCTTCAGTTTTCTTGCTATCTTGTTGTTATTATTGAGTACTGCCTAATGCTACTGCTTCTTTTTTCATCTTTCCTTGAACCGGGGGTTTATCAAAAATAGTCTCTCTAACTTCTCAAAATAGGGATAAAATATACGTACACATTACCCTTCCCAGACCACTTGTAGAATTATAATGGATTTTTTTTGTTCTTGTTGGTTTCGTGACTTTCATCTACTATGGACGGTTACACATAGTTTTTAGGTGATGTAATGGTGTAAAATATTTTTACATTATAGGTGTATAAAAGTTTAACCTTTTCTTTTTCACACAAAACTCTTTTATGGGTGTCCTATTTCAACATGGTCACAGAAAATGTTAGTCTTGTCACTTGTGTAGTATTTGCGAAAAAATAGGCTGACGCTGTAATCTTTAACATGGTCTTTAAATTAGGCAGAAATAGCGCAGCTCTTGTTGCATAAATTATACATGAAAACAGTCCAACAATTATTTTGATCTTGCATGATTATTTATTGATACAGAAATTAAAGTGTGTTGTATTATTTATTTATTAAAAAGATGAGTTGAAGAAATATTTTAATGCATTTTTACTTTTTAATAACAATGAACCATTACAGGCAATTATTGATGGGCACTGAGAAAAAAAGTTTGGGAAAATATACTTCATATCTATCTTCAGAAAATATTACTGCTACTACTTCTTTCCATTTTAAGTGACCTAATTTAAATATGGTGAAAATTCCACAATTTTTTAGAGGATCGGTTGTCGTTATTCTTTCGAAGAGTAGAAGAAAATAGTAAACAGATATTAAACTAGGATCAGAGTACTATGGCGGATTAATTTTTGTAACGAACTGATCACGTCCAACTATGCCTTCTAAAAAGGACAATGCGGTCGTTGCAAATATAATCCGGTTTACAAGTCCGGAGTCGAATCCCACAGAGAACTAAGGTTTAGCTACAGCTGTTCACTATCACCAAGAAGACAAGCTTGAACAATTCCTAACTTATAGATATTAAGATTCTTGTGTTTAACTACTTAACTAACAAATTAAAATAGTGAATTAACAACTAAAGATATTGAGGGTTAGAGAAAAGATTAGGGAGGTCTAGAGTTATGATTTCCCCAATTGTCGGAATCCTTCCCGCTATGTCTTCTATAATTTCGCCTAAGTATTCTCTACCGATCATGAGCACTCATATTACCGTAACTCTCTCCCGAGTAATTACGACAATTTACTAGACGCACTCTCCCGAGCTACGCTAGCTGGCTTTTAATACAGCTCACTTCAGATCGCACCCAAGGCTTCGTTATCCCTAATCCTACCTTTAACCCTCGGTTATTGATCCCTCATATACTCTGGGAGTGGTGTTGTTCAACAATTACCTAAATATGCACTCTCTCCCGAGTTATGCATACTAAATAGGCACAGCTAATTGAGAGCTCTTCAATCAACCAGAATATAAACGTAGTTGAACAAATAGAGAAAAGCTATGGCTCAATTATATAAAAACATAACAAGAATTTATCCTACAAAAGGTTCTATCAAAACTCTAGATAACAAATTAGCTATTCATAATAGTATGTAAAACTACAATACTAAAAGTCATAACCAACAATGAAAAATAGGAAGAGGAAGGAAAAACTTGTAGAAGAATTCTCCGCCTTGCTCCCAATGTGTTCTTGCCTCCAAGGGTGTTGTCTAACCCTAAAGTAGTGTCTCTCCGCCTCCTTAGGTCTAATTTGTGTCCAAAATATGTCCTCCTCTTGTTCTAGGCCGGCCTCCTTAGTTTTATATAGGGTTTAGGACTTAAAATCCCATGTTTTACACTTTAGCCCCTGAAATTTACGCTTCCCACCGCGGTTTCACCGCGATCGCGGTGGAACCGCGGCCAAACGCCCTCGCGCGGATTCTTCATTCTTCAGAAACTGCCTTCCACCGCGGTTCTGCCGCGGTCGCGGCAAAACCGCGGTTTTTCACCCTGTTCCGTTTGGAATTTGGGAAAACGTAAAACATGAAAGTTGTAGCCCTTTGAGTTAGCTTTCCAACCATATATTATGGAGCCCAAATGGAGTTCTGAGCAAAAAGTTATGTCTATTTTACTAGACAGTGCGCAATATGCCTCCTCAAGCCTTCGTTCGTACTTAATTATCAAATTTGACCCCCGAACACGATCCCGGCTTAATTCCTTGAGCTTTTACTCAGACTTCAAAGCTTCAAATCACTTAAATTCATTTCATAACATCTATATAGCTCGGAATCACACCTACAAGGCATAAAACACACAATTAGTGCAAAACACTAGCGATTAAAGCGCAAACTCAATTAAAGTGCAGTAAATTCGAGTGTAATAAGCGACTAAAATATGCAATTATAGCCTATCATCACGAACCATTAAATTAAATACTCTAAGTGGTCATTTGGTTCACAGATTAGTTATATACATGAAATTATAGTAATTGTTGATGAACAATAAATAGGGTTTTTTTTTTTTTTTGAGCAATAAATAGGTTTTGATAAATAGGGGTTGATCAATAGGGATTTTCTTTAATTGTTTGCTTTTTATGGGTTTTGATTAGTTGAAATGGTGGATTAATTGGTTAGAATGGTGGATTGATTGCTTGGAATGATGGATTAATGATTTAGTTGTTGTATTTTTGAATTGGTAGGTGGTGTGGCTTTAAAATAGCTGAAATTTGTCAAAATATTTTCAGTTTTCCGACCACAGTAGTCGCAAATTGATGAGTCAATTACTCAAATGGTCACTCAACTTTCTCAAATTATCTCCTAAAGTCACTTTTCTTTCGTTTGTAACAACAAAGTCACTGAACTATGCCTATTGCATTCAGAAGGTCACTCAACTAGATTTTCCAAATTTTGGATTGCCAAATACCTATTTTACCCTCTAAATTATAAATATTTATTTCTTTTTTTTTTTTTACTTTTCAATATTTTGATTTTCCCTTTTTAATTTATATTATGGGCTTACCTATAGAATAAATAAATATTATTTATAATTAAAAAAAATAAAAAGTATTTAAGCATCTATAATGTTGGAATAACAAAATAATGAGCATAGTAAAAAAATTAATTAGAATAATTTGTTCGTAATAATAATTTTATTATTAACAACAAAAATTTAAAAAATTTATTTACACAATTCGGAATGAAAGAAAATAAAGGTTGTAAAATATATATTCCAGCATGTAAATATAAAAATAATTATTTAAATAAAAATATTTTTATAATATACATTATATATTCTTGAAAATTATGCTCAATTATATTATTATGTTTCTACCAACTTTTCGATAACACAAAAACTTATGTCACCAGAAAGTAGGGGGATTATCTGTATATGGTAAAATATGCTATATTAAGTCGTGCATGGAATATATATAATATAATTGAGCATAATTTTCAAGAATATATAATGTATATTATAAAAATACCTTTATTTTAAATAATTATTTTTATATTACGTGCATGGGATATATATTTTACAACCTTTATTTTATTTCATTCTAAATTGTGTAAATAAATTTTTGAAGTTTTGTTGTTAATACTAAATTATTATTACTAACAAATTATTTTAATTATTTTTTTACTATGCTCATTATTTTGTTATTCCAGCATTATACATGCGTAAATACTTTTTATTTTTTTAATTTATAAATAATAATTATTTATTCTGTAGGTAAGTCCATAATATAAATTAAAAAGAAAAAATCATAATATTAAAAAGTTTTAAAAAAATAAAAAGAAGATAAATATTTATAATTTAGAGGGTAGAATAGGTATTTAGCAATCCAAAATTTGGAAAATCTAGTTGAGTGACCTTCTGAGTGCAATAGGCATAGCTTAATGACTTTGTTGTTACAAACGAAAGTAAAGTGACTATAAAAAATAATTTGGGATAGTTGAGTGATCATTTGAGTAATGGACTCCAAATTGCTTCATTATTTCCCAAGAACATTTGCGACGGTTGTAGTGGGAAATAAATAAATAATATTAAATTAGTTTTGCAACGGCAATAGTGAAAAGTATAAATAAATAAATAAATAAATAAATAATACTAAGTCAAATTTGCGACTATAGTGGTAGGAAACGTAAATAAAATTAAAGTACTTTATAATATTTACGACCACTATGGTGAGAAAGTTTAAATAAAATTATAATTATTTATAACATCTGCGACCAAAGTAGTGGAAAATTTTATATAACATTAAAATTTAATTTAAATGTTTGCGACCATGTCAGTCGGATAGGTGACTACATTTATTAGTCGTTTTTTATTTTTACTTTTCAACTGCGGTAGTCGCAAATTATAGATGGAATCAGTCACAAACTATTCAGACCAGCTATTTTATGATCATATTATTACGGTCTGAATGTAATCGGAAATCGGCATTTTCTGACCGAATAAAGCAGTTGGAAAATAGCCATTTTCTAGTAGTGTTGAAGATTACTATTATACAGTAATTCTTATACCTGGAGGGCATTTTTTATCTTTAGGTACTCTTATCTAGATAATAGATATTGTTTAGACTTGTCTTCTTATGCCACATTCTATTTTGTATAAAATATACATTCTGCACATTTATACCAATATTAGTAGTACAAAAATTTAATACCGGAAACCAAACATTGCATTAGTTACAGAGTTTTATACCAAAAGATCAAATGCATCATTAGCTACGCAATGGTTTAGTGATATTAAGCTTTATGTTTCAAACCCAAGATTGTACTACCATTTTTGCAGAATTTTATACCAAGGTTATCTTTCTTTTAAACCAAATAACCTTTCAGAAAATTAAAATCAATTTTCATATTGTTGACCTCAAAAACAATTGAGTATAGTTAGTTTTGACGAATAAAGCAACTATTACGTGTAAGAAATAGGAAAAACTAAACAGTAACCGCTCTAAACAGTAACCGCTCCAAAAAATAATAGCTGACAAAATGTATATTTTATATATATATATATATATATATATATATATATAGCTAGCGAATGTAATTATTTTTTGTCGTAACTTGCCCTAAGAAATAGAGATTTAGATGACACTCACTTCCTGCATAAAAATAAAATGAGTAGTTCAACTACAAGACTTAAATATTGTAGTGATTGCATCTAATTCTTGTAGATGTATGGTGTGTGAATTGCAATGTATAAACAATTGGATTCAATCAACATTCAGGCATCTGGATATATGACAAAGAAAAGATCAAATATGTTTTCTTTTTTTTAGCTGATGCTAATGTGCTATGAAACAATACATTTTTTAGCAGAATTCAGTGTTTATTAGCACAAAAAGGAAAAACAAATTTGTTCAAGAACTAGGAGGTGCTTGCACCCATTGACAAGCCTCTTACAGCAACCTTTACAGCAGCTACAACACTGCGCTGCCTCATCTCCGGATTTAGCCCTTGTTTCCCCCGAGCCTCGCTTGTATCTTCTATCTGAATGCCAACAAAGTATGCAACCTATGCAGCCAAATGGATAGAATCACAAAGGGTTAGCACAAGTAGGACTATATCACAAGCAGCAGCAAGTAGGTGAACGCGGCCTAAGCTATGCGCATATTTTTGTGATTTAGGCTGCATTTATTCTGATTATATGTGCAGCAAATGGATTGTTTTTGGAATCAAGAATTCTACTCCAAGCTTCGCTTTTAACAGAGAATGACAAACAATGCAGAAATAATCAATCTTTAAATGTCTAATGTGACTTGTTAACTGAGCTCCAACAAACTCAATTGCAAGCTAGTTGGGGTCGGGTATGTGAATCTTTATTATCCATGGCACTCCGTTAAGACCCAGGGGTGGATTTAGGGGGCGGAAGGGTGTTCACTTGAACCTTCTTCGCCGAAAAATTACATTCATATATAAGGCAAAATCTAGTTTTTACCTCTATATATTATGTTTTGAATCCCCTTTACATAGTCCAAGCAGTTCAAAACCTTTGTGAGGTCACTGGTTCAATTCCCACTGGCCACATTCTCTTTTAATTTTTTAATTTTTTTTCTTTTTTGAAACCCCTTAGCAAAATCCTGCCTCCGCCACTGTTTAGACTTGTCTCAATCCAATACTTAGAAATGGATTGAGACTGAGATTCATAGGTTAAATTGTATTAATTGATTTTGTCCAACATACCTACCAGTTTGATTTCTTAGCCAAACAGAGCAAAAAACTGTTCTCGCTTTTTACTTCTAATTTTTCCCTGCTAGTTTCTTCTAACTTCTCTATCTCTTGAGGCAGCCTCTTACACCAAAACTACATAACTCACAATAGCATTATCTCCACCTTTAGTACTCGTTTGGTATGAGGGATAAGGGATAATTAATCCCGGGATTAAATTTGAGATGAATTTATCTCATGTTTGGTTAGGATAAAATCGCGGTATAACTAATCCCGGGATTGTAGTGTTATTTTAACCCCTATGGGCGGGTGGTATAACACTTCCAGGATAACTTATCCCGGGATAATTAATCCTGTGATAATTTGTTTCCCAACCAAACGACCCATTAGTGTGTACAAGTATCTACAGGAAACTTGATAGACGACATAAAATCCTTTCTTCTTTTTTTTTTCTTTATCTCTTTGACGCTAGTACTAATCATCGCAAACTAGATAAAGAGCACACAATGAAAACCATACCAGCTTTTTCATTCTCTTCTTTAGAATATTACAGATAGTTCACTTTTTACTGTGCGCATCACTATTAGTTAAATCCGTCGAACAAAAACTCAAATCTTTTGAATTACTGATTATTCAGGAAGACATTGAACTATTCTCAGATCTATTTCTCCAACATAAAGTAAAGACGAATTTTGGACCATCTGCTACTCTTGATCCCTGAGAACTAATTCACATCTCCAATCTTGAATGAAGCATTTCTTGCAACATGAAACCTTCAAATGGATATCTCATACAAACATAATGTATGAAAAGGTAGCTAACAAATTCCTAAATGACAACTCTATATTTAGTTAAACTGGAAGGACTAACAAAATTGTCTGAGGAGACGTATTCATTCCATTTGGACATGCCATTCACCTAAAAGAACCTGTGGAGAAGTTGTCTACATTGAGAAATATATACAACAGCAGACCCAGTATAATCTCACGTAGTGGGGTCTGGGGTGGGTAGTGTGTACGCAGCCTTACCCCTACCTTGTGGAGATAGAGAGGCTGTTTCCAATAGACCCTCCGCTATATTGACAAATATATGAGGATATGTTATGTTAATAGTGTATATAACACCTTGTTGGGCTGAGGGAATCATTGGAGCACCATAAACTTGACAAAGGCAGAGGTGATATCATTAATTTATGACACCAGTGAACTGCAATTGAATTGGGACTATGAACAAACTCAACTACCCCTAATGCAAAAACAGCTTGTCTCAGCCCTTCAGCCAACTTACTCGTGAGTCGTGGACTATAAAAATTTGTTGTGAGCTTGTTTAGTCAAGTTAAATCAACTCAACCAGTTTAAACTACAAAATTTGTATACCTTCTTTCGTTTTAGTGCGACACAAAAAAGGAAATAAGAAATTAATTAGGAACACTTCCTCTATCTAAACCAAGTTCTCTACAAAAGTGAATTTATAAAACAGTTCATTGAAAAGAAATGAATACTGTATATTACTCCTCTGTCCAATGACTATGCAATTTAAACAAAACAATAGAGAAGTTACATTTTAAACGATACCTTCGTTCTCTCAACAGGCATTTCTATGATTTTTATGGAATGGTAAATATGTACCTATTAGTTTAAAAAATATTACCTTGCCTGAAGCATTCCGGACCGGTGAAATGTGAAGAAAATTCCAAAACGAGGTTCCGTCTTTTCTGAAAGCAAATATGCAGCCACCAAGAGATTGAGCCTAAGGAACAAGTAAACAATCCTTATCTGAATATCATGCAAGGACCAGAACCAACCTGTAATTTAAGATATGTACAGTACATGGTTGTTCATTTTGGATGCAATGTCTTATCTGCAAAGAGAAGAAAAAAAAGACAAAAAAGGATTGTGATCGTCTGCTCAACCCCATACCTTCCCTCAGCCCTACTCCCACTTAAGAAAATCTTAATATTACAAAGGGAACTAGACCTCTAGTCCCAAAGCAAATGAGAGCAGAAAAATTATTACCTGAAATTGTGTGCTTCTGTCTGTATCTTCCCCGCTTAAAAACCTACAATTACGGCCCAATACTTCATGTCTCGAGAAGCCTATTGAAGAAAAGAACGGTTCCTGTTAGCAACATTGGTTAGAGTGAGCCCTCATGCTCTTTCTGATGAACACAAGAAGAAGATTTCCCTATTCCCTCCCCAATCCATCAAAAGTGAGAACATCCCCGTTAAATGAACAAAAAGATTACAATAATGTAAATTAGCTACAGCTTCCGCACCTGTTAATCTTAGGAAGGCATCACTTGCATAGACAATTGGCATGTCTGGTAAGTGCGCGTCGGTTCTGCACATTTCAGAAAGATATCCAAATGGAGAAAGGAAGTGTTAACTCCACTCAGGAGCAGATCATATTGGTCAATAAAACAGGAAAATTAGGAATTTCAAAAAACTCACAATACAAAGCTTTGTTTTATTCTACCAAAAGATATATTTAAGGATGCACTGAGCGGACTCGTTCCAGATTGACAGCATCTCTTGTCACCGACCAGTCTGCTTGTCAACTCACTGTAGTTTGCCAGCACGGAAATTATGTTGTTAACAGCAAAACTGGCTTTTCTCTTCTCTTGATCACTTGCTTCACAAGGCCCTTCAACATCTACTTCTGTGATAAATAAGCCTTGTGAAAAGAATCCTATGGATTGAACCTCACTCTACACTAGAATTTAAGAATGAAAATGAAATGGAAATAATCAAAATGCACAAAAATTGGAAAAAAGTGAAGCATTGCCCTTGTGCACTACAATGTACTTGGAGAAATTTTAGGTTTTTTATAGACAGACTAGGACTGCTAATTTGCACTAAAACTGTTTGCATCTCAAAGCGTAATAGAAACCTGTCCAATCTAACTAAAGCAACTTCAGAATTTTGACTCAAATCATGAATTTAGGCTTCAGAAAAACGAAGCAAAGATAACTAAGTCCTAAGATAGGCTGTAAATAGGTAGTAAATTCTAGGTTCTATCCCCCCCCCCCCCCC